TGCGCGCGCGCGCGTGTGTGTGTGTGTGTGTGTGTGTGTGTGTGTGTGTGTGTGTGTGTGTGTGTGTATGTGTGTGTGTTGCTTGATTACATATATTTTCGCATCTCTCATTGGTGCGTTTAGGTGCGCTTGCTTGAAGCAATAATGCGAAATAATGATATATAATTTTAAAAAGTAAAAGAAAACTTTTTATTACATCAAAAGAATAAAGAAGAAAAAAAGAGATATTTGATAATTCATGTATTAGATAATCAATTTGATATATTATTAAATAATAACATATTAAGAAAATAATATGAACCTTATCCTCTCTCCTTTACACAATCGATAAAGCGTTTCCATGGAGACGCGAAAACTGCTGATCAAAGTATTCGCATTCCAAAACTGAAACTAAACACTGCAACTTTTACAGTTTGATACAATTTTATCTTTTTGGAATGAAAACCAATTACTTTGAATCACCGCAAAGAACTTCTAAAATTTTCAGTATCAGTCCGTCAAGAATAAAACTCAATACGATCGGGCGAGCTCGTAAAATTGGATGCGAACGAAATGTTGCTTCAGTGCTTCTTCTACAACGACAAACGCTTCGTATCTTTTATGAAGACATTGATGTTACACCAAAGCCATTGGTCCATGCAGCATTTTGTGTTATTGACGAAAATCAAATGACTACCTTGGAAACCATTGGACTCTTCCAGACTGGAAGTGACTCCCAGCTGATAGCATCTTGTTCGAGGACTAGTGGTCTCAGGGCGAGTTCTTCTCTTCTCCTCAAGTCTTCCTCGATAGCATCTAATGATTTACAAATGGAGAGTCTGCTGTCGACACAAATTTGTTCGTCCTTGCCTATTGAGAAAATTGAGGATACTGCTCCATTGCCATTTTTTCTACCTAGGTAACAATTATATTAACTTGAAAATAAATATGAATTTACAACAATTTTTATTAAATTTTCATAAACTCTGCTAAATTTATCTTTGTTGAATTATTTGTTAAATTCTACATGTGTATTAAACTTAAACTATTAGTAGAAAGTAAAGAAAACCCAGATAGCACATGTTTGTTTCATATTCATTTCCTAAACTTATTCAATGTATTCATATACGTTTAAAAAATATATATGAAACAAACATATGCTACTTGGGAAAATTTCAAATAGAATTGATCTCGACTTATTAAAAATAAGAAAATTTTAATTAATATTTATATAAAATAAATTGATAGACAATGGAAATTGTAAATATAATTTATTTACAGCGACGAATTAGAAGTATTTGCAACTCGTCCAGAAGCTGTGACAATTAACTTGAAAGAGACACAGACGTTTTTTATCTTTGAAATGATACAGATGACTGAGAATTTACAAATGCCCGAAGGACAAGTAGTTCAACTTGAAAATGAAAATTATGAATATGTGACAATGGGACCAGGCTCCAATCGTAAGCTATTGGATGCTGAGACGCAAACAATACGAGTGCTAATGAAATCACGTGGCACTTATTTGGGTATGAGACTCCGTAGAAATCAGGATGCATTTGTAAACAATTGGGTGATCCACGATACTTATGCGGCGCCAGAATTAATGACTGAGAAAAATGGACGTATGATCGTACACTCGAAGGAGTCAATGTGCCGGATACGAGAAGCGCAAGTATTTTCGCCATATTCATATAGAAATAAATTGCGTAATGTTAAAAAATAACTTCGTAAATTTTGTATTAAAATTTTTTAAAGTAAAACTTGTTTGAAATAAACTGATGTGTCTAATGTTTTTTTATCTGTTCTTTAGTAGTTTATTTTGCAAAAAAATTTTTCTTACAATTGTTTATAACTATTGGAAATTATTAGTACCTATATACAGAATAAGATATTTAAAATGTTATAAACTATTACTGAGAGTATATATAGCAAAAATGATTTAGATCTTATTAATATTCACTTTTCGATTGTCTTCCGCTAATATTTTTTATGTAGGTTGACGAAAAGAATCGATTGGTAATATTAATTTTTACATTTCCAATTTTGCAAAATGTACCAACATGTTTGCAAAAATAGTGAAACTTTATATATTATTATCTTCTATATAATAAAATTTAAATAATTTTATGAAAGATAATAATATATATAAAATAATAAACAAATAAAATTTCGATAAATGTATAAAAAAATAATAATGTTGGAAATTATCAATAACAGAATACTATAATTATATCTATATAATTAATTTTTTCTATAATATAAATATTTTTATAGTATATTAAAATGTTATTTGTTTATTATTTTATATATTACCATCTTCTATAAAATTATTTTAATTTTATTATATAAAAAATACTATATAAAATAATAAATAAAATTTCAATAAATATGTAAAAAAATTTTTACAAAGTAAATTTTTTCTATAAGAAAGCCTTGTTGATATTTTTGCAATAGGAACTCCAATACAAACTCCCTGAACCTGAAGCGACTCTCAATTCAAGCTTTGAGAAGCAATTATCTCACATTTGCCGAAAGACACGCTTTTTGGACGCGACATGTGTAATGGAGCGCATAATTGCAAACAATGTATTCGCAACAGCGCAGAAGCGCTTCACCGGCCTGATCAGATGCGATCCGTGTGCACTAGATCTGAAGTTCGATTACCGTTTGGATTTGCTGTGGACGTACGCGTGCGAAACAGCGCATGACCGCCCCGTGATCGCATTTTGTTGGAATCCGGTTAACGAGAGCGTCCTCGCCGTTGCTTATGGCGCCAAGATTGGGTTGGACAGAACAAACGGACTATTGCTAATCTGGTGTGCCAAGAACCCTAGACAGCCTGACCGCGAATACATCTTTAACAGTCCGTTATCGAATATTGATTGGAGCAAGAAACGACCGAATCTTTTAGCTATCGGTTTCTATGACGGAAGTGTGAAGATTATCGATGTCAGCACGAAAATGATAAATGTCATCAGACAGAGTTGCAGGGAAACATCAGCGGCCTATTCACCGCATTGGCAGGTAAAAATGTTAACCATATTGTACCATTATTTTGATTTTAATACTATGAAAATATGCGATTTTCATTTATGTACACATTACAAAAGTGCAAATACTTTTACTTTAATATAATCAAAAAGTATCAAAATTTATCTTTTTATATTCTTTTTATATTCCTTTTATATTCTTTTTATATTGTAGTTCGTATTATTATCATTATCATTATCATTATTATTATACCTTTAAATTATTGCATACAGAACCCTGCAAACTCGTTGAGACGTTTTTACGGGGATTCTATTTAAAAAAATTAAGTTGACCTGACCTTGGCAACGCCACCCAAGGTCAAATGGATTTTATCGTTCAATGCATCTTTTTAAACCTTACAACTTTTGTCTGAAACTTTTTTTCAAAATTGCATTATTTACGACATATTCAGACTGTATCCAGATCGGCGTACCATTTTGGCATACCCTGTGTTCGATGTGTTATACTTGAACAACATTGATACTTTAAAAACTATTAAGGATAATTTCTTGCTAAAGTCAATTATGCAGAGTGCCTTGAAATTTATAATATTTGACTATTCCGCTATGGTATAATATTGATAGTATAATTGAGAGTATCCTTTATTCTGGTTACTAGGTACAATGGTGGAGTGGTGACGAGCAGTTTGAATATCATGAACAGATCTATACCAGCGACCAGGATGGCCGGGTATATTGCTACCGTTCTGGTGAAGATTTTTTCGCCACGGAAATCATGCGACTTTATAGAGTAAAAGGTAAACTAGTCGGGGTTTCTAGAACCGATCACTGCGTGGTCTACGACGTGCCCATCAGTCGCCAACCAGCCGCTCTTGTTCTCCGACGACATCCCACCGTCAACAATGTTTACTTCGTCGGCTCTGACGAAGGTTGCATCTATCGATGTTCCACGGATTACTTACATCAACACGTGGACAGTTTCCTGGCGCACGACGGTGCGATTTATTCGTTCGAATTCTCGCCTTTTTGTCAGAAGTTGTTCTTGACTTGCGGCGCCGATTGGTACATCAGAATATGGGCCGAAGGTCTTACCGAACCGCTTATTAATTTGTCAACAGCAATGGCATGCGTGAGAAGCGCTTGCTGGAGTCCCACGTGCTCCACTATTATCGCCAGTATTGTTAACAACCAAATTTGTGTGTGGGACATTCGCAGGAAAACGCACATTCCAGCATCTGTGACGACTTCGACTAATGGAGCAAGTTTGGTCGCTATTGATTTTACGACGAATGGGAATCAACTAATAGTCGCTGATGTTGAAGGCGTTATTTACATCTATAATCTTGAAGGCATGCCGTTTGCGCCTTATGATCAAACAAAAGTACTAATCGAATCCATTCACAAAGCACTGGTGACTAAACCAGATCTCTTGAGAAAGTTAAAAAAGCTCGGTCCGCCATTTTAATGATTCAGTATCCGATATAATAGTAGGGTAAATGTCTAAAGAAACATATTAAAACAGAAATTTACATATATTACTACAAGGAAGTTTTATAATTTAATTAGAAAATTAGGTCAGAAAAAGAAAGAGAGAAAGAGATTGACATTAGGCAGCAATGGGAGTCTTTCTCTCTTCAGGAGAAGACTATCAAAGTTTATTCAACCTACTTACCACCCGGCAATTACATTTAGTCAAAGAAAAAGCGGTACAGTAGAAAAATAAGAAAAAATTGTAAAACCTCAAATGCTTATACGCGCGCGCGCGTGTGTGTGTGTGTGTCACAAAAAAGATGCATTTGCGCAGGTCTTCTGTGTCATCCACCATTGAAAAACTAATTGTCACACGCAATCGGCATTAAAAGTTCTTCAAAAACAGACTTCAAGCTTTATTTTCGTTTTTTAATCACCTCAATACGATAATTATTAACTGTGTTATAAGCATTTGAAGTTTAATCATTTTTTCTTATTTTTCTATCGTTTTTTCTTTGACTGAGTGTATATTATGCTGTAATCATAATACCGATGTAAACTTGGCGCCCAACTTTACAAAAATTAAAATTTAATAATATGGTTTGTTTGTACTTGTTTCTACCGCTTCTTATTTCGTTTGTACCTCAAAGGGTAAAAAAATACAAGAGGATGGAAAAATGGCCAGCACGCGATTACAAGATTTTTAAATTTCGTTTATGTCATTC